AGATCTCGCCGTCAACATAATAGGTTATGGTAATTATATAAATGAGGAGGGAATGAAAAAGTCCTATTGGTTGTTACGTAACAGTTGGGGTTCTCACTGGGGAGATGACGGCAACTTCAAGGTCGACATGTATGGTCCGCATGGATGCCAACAGAACTTTATCCACACCGCTGCTGTCTTCAACCTAGACATGCCCCACTTCCAGTCGTCTGTAACGGACACAGAATTGTACAGCTACCACTTGAAGAGCTCCCCCGATTTGTACAAGAACCTTTATTATAGCGCATTGGGTGGAAGTGGCAGCTCGCCGAATCACGCCATTCACGGGCAGGAAGAAACAGTGGATGGAGCAACATCTACATTGACAGTTCAAGGACCGGAAACTGCGCCAACAGGGTCGGTCGTAGGAAACACAGTTTCAAGTGAACAAGCTCCAGGAGCAAAACATACGCAAGTAGAAGGACAACCACAACAGACGGGAGGAAGTCCACCACCACCATCAACACCACAGCAACCAACAGAAAAGGTAGAGGAGCCAACTGCACCGAGCAGTGACGCATCAGGGGAGAAGTCCATTGAAGAAGTGGTAAACGAGAAATTACCCCAAATTATTCACGTGTTGAAACACATTAAGCAGACCAAAATGGTGACGAGAGCAGTCACGTACGAGGGTGAGTACGAGTTGGGAGATCACTCCTGTATACGAACCGAAGCATCATCTGTGGAGAAACTAGATGAGTGCCTACAATTTTGTAATGAAAATTTTTACAAGTGCAAAGGGACAATTTCACCAGGGTATTGTTTAACCAAGCTGCATGAAACGAACGACTGCAATTTCTGCTCTGTGTGAAAGCGGTATCCCAAGTTCCTCGATGCACATACACGTTCTGATGCATCTGCGAATGCATGAGAGTGTACAGACGTGCGTGCGCGTGGAGTATTTACACTACCCGCCTGGTATCAACAAGGGGTGAAAACTCACTTGTGTCATCAACACGGCACAGTTTTATTAACCATTTCTTCAATGCCATGTAAGGCATTTTTAAATGAAAGTTCAAAAAAAAAAATTTTTTTTTTTTTTTTTTT